CGCCTGAGGGGGAGGAGGGGGGGGGGGGGGGGGGGGCACAAGAAACAAATCAGATGAACAGAACATTATTTAACACTTTGCAGTCACTTGGCACATTAAAGTGACGGTGAAAATTATCCCTTCCAGTAACCTAGAGCATTTCTGCACCAGCCCAAGAAGTCTGTTACAGTCACTCTCCTGGCTAGGTGACCAGATGATATAAAAAGGTACAATTAACAAACACACAGGTACATTTTTTCTTTTAACTCGCCACTGCAGTCGAAATTGTCCAAAACCCTCTACCCATAATCAAGACAAAAAGAGGTAGTCTTTGAAACAGAAAGACATCTTGGACAGTATCATTAGAAAAAACAAAAAACCAATAAAAACTGGAGAGACTAATTTTTCACGTGGTATGACGTTTTCCCTTTAAGTACAAGAGACTGCCAGCATCTCAGTCGGTCTGCCAGCCATTAAACGTCCGCTCATTTAAAGCGTTTCAATACAAAATATGACTTTTGTTTTGCTTGTTTTTGTAAAGTGTTTTACGGCGCTCGCAACTGCATAAGGTCATATGAGCGTGCAGGACACACCTAATATTATCAGTTGGTAGGAAATTTTGAATTTTGCCCGGGTGGCGGCCGAAGCCTACTCTTATTGATTTTAGACCACCAAGGGATCTTTAACGTGCGCAACTTGCACACAGGCCCTCCGAGATTTTTCGCCCTTGTCCGAGAAGGCTAGATGTAGATCTTTCCTACCAGAAGATCAGGGGTGTGGCAGAAAGACAGCAGTAAGGAGGAGCCAAGGAGTAGCAGAAGAAAGGCTGCAGAAAGAGTAAGGAGCCCAGAGGAGGGGGCAAAGGAGGTGAGGGGGTGGGGGCAGAAAGTGGAAATGAAAGCAGACAACAGAACATTGCTAGAGAGCAGGAAAAGAGGTGAAAGGAGACAATTTTAGAGAAGAAAATTTTTGGGTCGCTACCCGGATTCGAACCCGGGACCTTTGAAGGAGAGGCGAACACCTTAACCTCTAGGCCACGAGAGCCCCAATATGACTTTTGTCATGAAAAAGTTCAAAAACGTTTGCACAAAGTAGGCCTATAATATTAAGGTGGTGACATTGTTAGCACTAGTCCTTACTTACTCTTTCGAGCCAGGAAGAGATTGGTGAATGCAATACCAGTCACAGACTTGACTTGTCAAAGGACGATACTTTTACAGGTTGTTTTTGTTGGGTTTTTTCGGTTGTAGTTTGCTTCTCTTTGTTTTGCTTTGTTTTGTTTTTAAATTTCATTCAGAATTTCTAAACAGCTCCAGTTTTGTACTTACGTCTTCTACTTGAAACTTGGGAGCTTCGTTGAGGGAATCGAACTTGGAGTCAATTTTGTAGAAGGCCAGCTCTTGCTCCAGTTGGTAGTGTTTGTTGCTGGCTTTGTTCAGGTCCGAAGTCTTTTTCTTCAGCTGAAGAGAACAGAGTAGCGTACAGACTTGACTTACAATAATAATAATAATAATAATAATAATAATAATAATAATAATAATAATAATAAATAGCATTTGTATAGCGCATATTCCCGCTCAACAGCAGGCTCTATGCGCTTTACACTATATTATTACCCAAGCAGACCATAGAACCCTCTGAAACATTCTCAGCTTCCCGGGAAGCATACAGTGCAAGCAGCTGATTAAGCACTCAAACACTAAAAAACTGACAAGATCTTTCGCTGTCTATAGCCGGGTACCCATTCCCACCTGGGTGAAGTGAGGAAAATTTGTGCAAAGTGCCTTTCCCAAGGACACAACATCGGGCCCCTGACGGGATTCGAACCCATGACCTTATGGTTGCGAGTCCAAGAGCCTAACCACTTGGCCACCAACGCCACACACTATCCTAGAGCAGTTTGATAGTGTTTGTTGCTGGCTTTGTTCAGGTCCGAAGTCTTTTTCTTCAGCTGAAGAAGACAGGAGGGTAACATACAGACTTGACTTACAATATCCTAGACTGGTTTGGTAGTGTTTGAGCGCGTTATCAGCTGCTTGCACTCTACGCTTCCCAGGAAGCTGAGAATGTGTCTGAGAGTTCTAGCCTTTGCTAGGTAATAATTTAGTGTGTGAAAGCACATAGAGATTGCTGTTGAGTGGGGTTATGCGCAATACAAATGCTATTTTTTTATATTGTTATTATTATTATTTATTCATTAATTAATTATTATTATTATTATTATTATTATTATTATTATTATTATTATTATCATTATATTATTATTATTATTATTATTATTATTATTATTATTATTATTATTATGAATTATTATCAGTCTTCTTTTTCTTCTTTTTCTTCTTCTTCTTCTTCTTTTTCTTCTTCTTCTTCTTCTTCTTCTTCTTCTTCTTCTTTTTCTTCTTCTTCTTCTTCTTCTTCTTCTTCTTCTTCTTCTTCTTCTTCTTCTTCTTCTTCTTCTTCTTCTTCTTCTTCTTCTTCTTCTTCTTCTTCTTCTTCTTCTTCTTCTTCCTACTGACCAGCTCGTCCTTGGCTGACAGCTCCTGCTCCATACGGCGTAGCTTCTCCTGCATGTCTCTCTCCCGGGATAGGAGCTGGGTCTGGGAGCTCTCCTGTTGGGTACGCTCCTGGGGGGATAGATGGGGGGGGAGGGGGGGGAGTCAGAGATTGGAAGGGGGGGTGCCAACTAGGTATCTTAGAGTTACGAAGTTCTGTCCAACATTTTTGGTCGTTTTGAGTTACTTATAAGACCATGAGGTCAGAAACCAAAATGTTCTATCTGCTCTATTAATTAACATTGTAGGATTATTCGGAGTCGCTATCAAGCTATTTATAGAACCGCTTTTGAAAAATCTTTGTCATGTTGTAAGACTCAAGATTTTTTATCTTCAAATTTCTCAAAACCAGACACAGAGCAGAATATAGAACTTTGCAATTTTTGGGTAATGTAATGGTGAATGTTGCCCTTTGATGAGAAAAATCTGGCTTGCTAGACTCAGTTTGACTGAATCCGCCCAGCAAAGAGCGCTGGATATTACGTCAAACGTCCAGCCCCGACTCACCTGTACGGACTTGTTATGAGACTCGGCCAGTTGGCGGTACTTGCTCTCCTCCTGCTCCAACTTCTTCTCTAACTGTTCTACCTCGTCTGGGGACACACAGGGGACACAACTCTCTCACTTAACGCCAGGCCAAAAACCTTTTTTTAGTAGTAGAAGTTTTACGACGCTCGCAACTGCATAAGGTCATATATGAGCGCCAGTGCCAAAAACATGAACTACTGCTAACTACATACATACACAGAGAGAAATTTATCTTGACAGCTCGATATTGATATACTGAGACTTAAGTGCGAAGAGAGAGAGAGAGAGAGAGAGAGAGAGAGAGAGAGAGAGAGAGAGATAATTATCTTTCGTGAGACATATATGAGAATATTGTGTTAAGCTGTGCAGTGCAGCTTGTAAGACAAAAATCTCCATCATTCTATATTTTCAACCCTTGGCAAGGTAGTACACATTCTTCTCATTGTTACTAGGAACAAGAATGATTCTAAAGTTGTCATATCGGGTCATGAAAACGCACACGCACACACACACACACACACACACACACACACACACACACACACACACACACACACAGAGACAGACACTCACATACAGACACACACACACACACACACAGAAAGTGAGCAAGTGAGAGAGAGAGAGAGAGAGAAAGAGAGAGAGAGACAGAGAGGCAGACAGACAGACAGACAGACAGACAGACAGACAGACAGACAGACAGACAGACAGACAGACAGCCAGACAGCCATCCCAGTCAGACAGACAGACAGACAGACAGACAGACAGACAGACAGACAGACAGACAGACAGACAGACAGACAGACAGACAGACAGACAGACAGACAGACAGACAGACAAACACTCACCCAAGGCAAACCGGTCCTGTGCCTGACTCCTCTCTGAATCACCGACCGACTGACCATCCAGTATCTCCACGGTCCTCAGGTGGAACACGATGTACAGACGGCTGTGGGGCAGCTCTGTGAGAGGGTTTCCCGCCACGTCTAGCTGGATCAGGTCAGGGAGGGGCTTCAGCTTGGACACTTCGCTCAGCTGACCAGTCCAACGTCATAGATAGAGAAGATGGTTGACCGGGGGGGGGATGGGGGGGTGGAGGGGGCAAGGGGGGTAGGGGTAGGGGCGGGGGGAGGGGGGAGGATAGAGAGAGAGTAAGAAAGGGTCGAGTGCAGGAGAAGAATTGAATGCAGGTGAAGCGTCCTATTCATCCGTCATCTCTCTCTTACCATTCCTTCTTCCTCCTCCTCCGTCCCTCTTTCCATTCCTCCCTCGTCATCCATCTAATTCATCCATTCTCCCCTTCTCTCCGTCATCCTATCTATATTTCCCCTCTCCCCCTCCACCCCATCCCATTCATCCTTCCCTTCTTCCCTTCCCTCCCTCTCTATTCCCATCCACCATTCATCCCTCCTTTCTTCCATCTCCCATCCCATCCCATCCCTTTCCCCATTCATCCCATCCTTTCTTCCCTTCCCTCTCCCATCCTCTATTCATCCCTTCCATCTCTCCCTCTTCCTCTTCTCTCCTCCGACCTCTGTCAACACCCCACCCCCTTACACACCCACACACAACCCATCCCCCACGCCCACACACTCACACACAATCCACCCACACACACACACTCACCAAGTGGATGTTATTCCTGGCCACCC